CTAAATTTTTGGTTATAAATCTGAACTTCTAGATATCCCCAGAATTAATTTCATAAAATCATCATTCTCCGTAGGCATGAACTCATATTTTACACTCACAACAAACAATAATGTGAGATCATTGGCGAGACTTCACTATCAACAAGCTACATTTGATGAGATCAATCTTTGACACAAGCCAACCCGAACTGGAAACTTTGATTTGACCCTACAGGTATGAAACATGATAAATACATGTACAATGGTACAGTTAATTGCAACCCATTTCGCAAATTGAATGGCAAACATTAACTGCATGCTCCTGCATTTATACGGCTGCAGTAATAACTGTTCCCCTGACAACTGAAGAGAGTTCTGTTTGTTCACATGGACAGATAATCATCTCCCCCATACAAGTCACGTCACTCATCATCAAGTAACTCGATTTTCATTAAATGATCTATTCAGCTCAACTGTTTGCATTACAGTTAATCATCACATTAGCAGCCATGCAAACTGAGACAAAAAACCTCGGTCACAAAATGAAGAAAAGATGATGGATGAGGGAAATGTATTATATTGATTACGATCAGAACACTATTAGAGAAATGTAATTAAAGTTACATGTCTTATTTTTTATAAATCAAAACAAATTTAATATCACTGCCATTTTAATCTAATCATCTATGAAAAGAATAAAACAAACAAACTTATTTCTCAGTAAGGAATTCTGTATTAGTTCCTTTCTCACTCCTATACATGAAGATAATATTTAAATAGCAAAATACTTAATAGAATTCACCTGGAGAGGGCAGTATATCAGAATACTTGTACACCACACTAATAACTGATGACTGATAAACATGAATGATATTACTGTGAATCACACAGAGGTTGTCGATTACTGGTTTTGGAGTTAGTTTGATGATATAACTGGGCACCAGCAGAGTTAATTTCATCATTACGCAAAAAATTTTCTTTAAAATAGCTTACATTTTAACACATACTGTTAAAAACCCTACCAAATACTGTTCTCAAGTGGAGTAAAATTAGGACAAAATAATGGCCACCTCTCTATAGTGGCCACATATAGGAAGAATTGTGTGTTGTAGAACCACCATGTCAAGGCCATAGTGATCACCTTCATGTATCATGTCTCCCTGTGTTCACTGTAGAACCTGTCTAGAAAGGTCACCTGTCTCTGACGCATGGCCAATGTTTTCATACATCCTTTCTGTGGTCTTAATACGTATAAATAACGATGAAGTACTCTTCATTACAAGAACATGTGCCTCTCTTTTTAAACCTTATTCCACACACACACACACAAAATTATGTTTGCGTATTCACGATGGTTTCATATACGCAGGGTAGCATTGACTGCCATTGAAAACAAGCCCTTTACAGCCTCATACAGACTGAGTTGAATAGAAGTAGAATACTTTAATACAAGTAATTGTAAATAAATTAAATAATAGCCTCTTACAGACAATAAATAGCACCTACAGTACATACAGATAAAAATAATACTAGCATGGCTAACGGTAACCCACAAACCAATGTGTCTAATACTGGTATTTAATGGTTTGTCATGAGATAAAAGTTGATAAGAAAGGCAAGACAGTTCTGAGTGCTTCCCCCTCCCCCCTCCCCCATGTAACCCACATGATTAGCGTTGCTCAACACTAACAGGCGCATCAGACACACGCATGGGTGCCCAACAATTGCATTTTTCTTTTTTAAACATAGGGCTCATGCATACAGAACTTTAAAAGTTCATTCTGCAACTCCTTCCGAGAAGTGAGTGTAAAGCCCTGCATTAGGTATATCCTTGTCAGCAAATACATTAGCTCTTCAAATTTCATTTCACTTTTAAAAGATGTTATCAAAATTTGTTAAAGTGCACAAATTTTACACAAGACTAATTAAATGTGCAGTATAATGCAATATATAAAAACTACATTTTAGTCCTTAATACATGTACATCTCATTTCAATTTGTCATGCATGTATGCAGCAATCTATTAGCTAGACAGAAATTATTGCCTTTACTGCAGCAGAAACCAAAGCTGTAATGCCAATAAGGATGATAATTCTATAAGCACTGGATAGAAAGTATCTTCAAATTTGTTGCAGGCATTTTGTATAGACTGTTTTTGAAACAAATGATTGACTTGATAATGATAATTCACCGTAATTAGAATACAGATAAGAATTCTAAGTGGACTGTGATGACATAAAAGGTAGAGCTCTCTCTGTATTTCCTTGGTCCTTCTTCTTGATATTATCTTCTTCTCATAGTCTTCTATTCCTGCAAGTCATTTAATCTATTTAGTACAGTCAAACCTGCTTTAGTGACCACCTGTCTACAAAGACCACCTGTCTACAAGGACCACATTTTTTGCTTCCCTTGAAAATGGTTTCTCATTGAAACATGTACTTAAGGAACCTGTCTACAAAGACCACCTGTCTTCAAAGGCCACTTTTTGTGTTTCCCTTGGGCGTTCGCTATAGACAGGTTTGACTGTATTATCTTCTACCGGCTTCAGTTGCGATAAACAATATATATTTGTACGATGGACATTTACTTATTGCGATAACCATTATTGAAAAGTCACCTACATATGCAGTACAGTGCAAAACTCAACAAAGTCACCCTCAGCTTGAAATTTAGAGGAATAATAAAATCTCTCATAACACAGCTCAATGTAATTACTAATCGGTGCTTGGAGGACCATTAACCCCAGAGCTAAAAACGCCTGATAACTCACACCCTATGACAGCTACTCCTACCCCCCCCCCCCCCAATCCCTTGCACAACAGTTACACCCCTTTTCCAAGGCCAAAACACTCACAGGGAAATCCCCCAATAACAATCCTGATGGCTACCCCAACATCTACTGTAGGCCTTTACCTAGACCCCAAGACAGGACTATCTCTGTAAAAAATTAAAACAAAAAAAATCAATTATGAGATACAATGTTTGCCCTCGGGGAAGGTGCATGAGGGGAAAAAAAGGGGGGGGGGTGGGGGTTATTGCCTAGATGTAATTGTCCAGAGGGCAGTTTTTAAGTTGTAGTCATATTGATTTAGCTATGTATGTAGGGTGACCCATGACTTTTGCACAATATTGTACAAGTATGAAATTGCCACCTATTCTCTTTCCTCTTATGAAACAAACATTAGAACTGAGATGAAAGATTCTAGAGTTGCTTGCTTAGCTACAACAAAAAAAAAAGTACTGCAAAATACATTATAAAAACATCTACATGTACGAAAAAGCCTCTAAACGTACTTCATGAGTTACTGGCAACAGTATTGATAAATCACATATTAATTATGAATATGAATACAGAAATATCAGGAAAAGAATAAGTCTGCCTCCAAATACCAACATGTTCCTATTACATATATGTAAATATGATATTCCCCCATCTCTGTATGTACTGGTATGTGTTTTGAAGGCAGTAGGTCCCTTCTGCAGAGTTTTGCAAACTCAAAGAAACTTGGAAAGTGTTTACAATATATCATTTAGATATTGTGTATGAAATTTTACAGTCATACAGTAGGTTCTTAAACTTTCTTGGTAAGAAATGAAAATTTAGAGCTGTTTTTAAATTACCGAAGAGGGAGCTATTCTCAAATCAACAAATGTAACAGTTGACTTAATTTTTAAATATTTTTCAAGTCCAGAAAATAAATATCTAGAATTAAACATTCAATTTTTGTTTTGAAAGCCAGTTTCCATTTTTTCTTCATTTTGTGGGAAGTTCCTTATCATAGACCACTTCAATATATCACTGGATTAGTGGAACTTCAGGGAGGTGTTTCACAAAGATCCTAAGTAGAACTTAACACTAAGTTGGACTTAAAATTATGGACAGCCATTGGAGCCTTAAAATGAAATATACTCAAAAGCAGAAATTCAAGTATTTTAGACTTTTTTATAAATTACACATCAAGAACATGAAATCTCCTTGATGATAGATAATATGAATGATTTGAATCAACAATTTATGCCTTTCAAAATAACTTTTACAAAATATTTTCAAAGATGCTAACGGCTTTCCATAATTTTTAAGTCCAACTTAGAGATAAGTTCAACTTAGAATCTTTGTGAAACACCCCCCAGGTCTTTAGGTCTGCAAAAGGGACAAACCATCTTTAAAATATAGATGGAGCAGTTCAAATGTAAGGTACTACCTTGTTGATTGGATTAGAAGGAATGGGGGTGGAAAAATGAATACAAAGTAGAGATCTTAAATCTAGACATGATAAACATCACCCATTAATATAGAGAGAGAGCACATCTTAAAAGTATCGTTAAAAAGTGAACATTTCAATTGACAGAAATCTCTTGAACATTGCCGTCAATAAACTACTTTTGATTCTCGTAGCTCTTACAAAAGTACAAACAAAAATGACATACCTACTAACAAACAACGGTTTTCACCATTTCAGATACGACAATATTCCTAAAACAGCAAATGGAGAGAAATAGTACTAGCTATAATAATTTCCTTCCTTTCCGACAGAATACTTGCATTCAGGGACCAACCAGAAGTGGTGTCATATTTTCCTAATGTTATTAAGATTTACAGGTCAGCAATAGTAGAAATTGCCTGATTAAAAAAAGATTCCTGACCTATAGAGACTGTAGAGAATAATTCACATGTGAATAAATAGTAGCTACTTCACAAAATATGAATTCTTCTCCACTAGATGTATGCATACTTTCTTTCACTTGGTATGAAATTCTGCGATTATTTAACTGTCAACCTTGCATGAGAAGGGGAAGTGAATTAAGGATTAGTAATACAAAATGACTCCTTCTAGTATTGACATGCATTTGAACTTCATTTAGTTATACCTGGAGTGGATTCAGGGAATCATAATTTTAAAAAGAAATCATTTTGCATCTGATATTGTTCTCTCTATGGATATACAACATTGAAGTCAATACAATTTCTGACATTTGTCTTATTTTACAAATCATTGCAATTATTACAATTATCATAAGTCGACAATTCTGTGGTTAGAAGGTCCAATTTCCTAGCCTAATTTTTAAAACTCCATTTTGGGGCTGAAGATAGGTAAATATTTCACTCCTCAGTTCCAGAATAGTGATTGTACAAATTTCTGCTCTTCATCACATATGGAGGCATTCTATTTTAATACACCACAAACAGTGAGTTATGTCTGATATTTATGTTATAACCATCAGACATCCCTGCGAGCTTATTCCAATCATCTTTTTACTTTTGCTAATAACTTTTGATATTATCTTAATGTTGGAGAAATACAATTCCATCTATATTGCCATTAAAAGTGAATCTAATACTGAAACTCAAACATGTATGGTGACTGCTACACTCTCATTCTCTAAACCATTCATGAAACATTAATACTATTGCATTGGCAATATACTTCCATCCTAACTGGGCGCATTAATACTATTGCATGGGCAATATACTACCATCATAACTGGGCGTATCCCTGAAAACTTTACCCACGATTCTCCATCCTTACTTGGTTACTCATTGTTAATAACCATATGTGCACCATATTAATCCATTGACTAATAAATTCTCACCTTACCATAGGCTTAATACAGAGACCATTTGCTCCCTGTAAGCAAAGATTTGAATTCTTAAAGTATCTTAAAACATGGTAAAAACTGCTTTAAGCATAGTCTACTCATTGCGTCATGCACAGTGTGTAATACAGTCCACATAGAGGGTCTAAACCTTTGACCAAGGCATAAATCTAAACCCCATTTGTGAGCATTGTTTAAAAATACACAGTGATATATCCTCTTTATATGGTTATGGGAATTTTTTTCTTGTTTTCTTTTATTTTCAATGATTTTTTTTTCTTTTTTTGGAAGCGAAACCTATTTGGCACTTCCTTGGTGAAACATGATGACAATGCTTTATCTAAAGACATCCATGATACTTATCAGCAAAATGGTCTCTATCTTCAAACCAAATAAGAATGAGACACCATGTGTCACTCACTCTCTCTCTCTCACTTTTGAATCTATGATATATTACCCATCATTCTCTCACTCATTCACTCGGTCATAAATATTCTCTCTCACGCTCTCTCTCTCTCATTCTCTCTCACCCTCTAAGCAGTCAGCTACCCATGTCTCCTCCTCTTACACCCTTACTTCCACCTTGGTCCCTTCTCATCCCTCCTAGACTATGGTATCGCCCCATTGTTCTGGTGGTAGACAGGACCATAGGAGGGGTAATAGGTAGGGTTGGGGTAGACGCTACCAGCGGGCGGGGCTGACATCATGGCGTACTGGTAGTGTTGGGCCTGGTTGACTGGCATACCTTGTACAGGTGATTGTCGAGCAGCTAAGGCCGCAGCTGCTGCTGGGTTCATTCCAAGTGCAGGGTTCATGCCCGGCTGGAGGAGATGAGAAAACAAGAAATGGTCTTACATTATAACTACAGTCAAACCTGTCTATAGAGACCGCCCAAGGGAAACACAAAAAGTGGTCTTTGTAGAAAGGTTCCTTCAGAACATGTCTCAATGAGAAACCATTTTCAAGGGAAACAAAATATTTGGTCTCTGTAGACAGGTGATCTTTCTATTCAAGTGTTTGCTAAAGCAGGTTTGATTGTACATCTGTTAAGAGCTAGAGGAGAATTGTTATATCTAATGATATGAGTTAAAGCACCTCTGACTCTCAGCACATGAATAAAAATAATAATACTAATAATCATTATGTAATCAATGTCTTGTTGCTGGTTGAGCTACAATCCAATGTCAGAATGTTGGTTTGACTGATAACACTTGATTTATAAGAATTTTTTCAAAATAGCTTACATGTAGCTCCAAGGCAATCAGAATATTACCCTCTCTCATTGAACAGACCAGTTCACGGTTAGCACATGTCCCAAATTACCCCAAATATCCACCGATCTTCAAAACATGAAGAGGTCCCACTCTGTACATTTTGAAATAATCACTCCTACAGCGGTGGAGGTGCTACATAAATAGCCTTTGTTTCCCCTTTTCAAAGAAAACTTCCACCTGTGTATCATGGAGTGCAGTTTGTGCATAAATTAATAATGATTACATTACTTTCATGAGCACGTATCCAGTATTATATACCTCACGTAAGTAATCCAGCAATCTGATTGGTCGAAATTGCATTCATAAACTTTAACTGTTCCCGAAAATTCCCGGTAACCATGGTTAAAAAACAGTTCAAAATCCCAATAACCATGGTTATTGGGAAAATAAGTCAGTCTCCATGGTTACCCCATAGGTTTACATGTTAAAAAATGGTCTGAGCGATCGAGGATACCGTACGTGTGCGAAGAATTGGTCGGTAATTTCAATACAATTGAATCTCGATCGATCTTACCGACAAATTTATCTTGCATTGTTGACATGAAGATGAAAATAAACTTCCAAAAACAAAAAAACAACATCTGCCGATAGATCTTGATCTAAGTTCGTGCCAATATGCATTGCAAAAGTAAAAGAAGGGCCCGTTTAATGGAGCAGCGGTGAAGCATCCACCACTCGAAGCCGTTTTCAATCCATTTTAAGGTATATATTAGAGAAAACTACTGTATATGGTGACAGAGCGCGCTGGCCGAGCGGTCTAAGGCGCTGACTTTACTCACCCCACCTTTTGTACGCAAGAGTTCGAATCCCATCTTCGACAAAAGTTTTTTTATTTTTTATTTTTTATTTTTTAGTCTATTTTTTTTGGCATATAAAAGTATTAATGACTGCTTTAATATTCGAGAAATAGTTGTTTTATACGCTCTCGGGAAGGTTACAATTGGGCTATTGCCCTTGGCATGCCTCGGGGCAATAGCACAATTCTAACCTTCCCTTGAGCGTATAAAAACAACTATTTCTCTCAAAGCAGTCATCAATACTATATTACGTCTCCGTGTATTTCACAATTTGGTCTGCAATCACTTTCATCTGCTCATGCTCAGACTGCAAGTATGAACTGGCTAATTAAGCAGCCCCATCATCCTACCCACTCATACAGGGATGTTAATCTAATAGCCAGGCTTCATTCAGATTGCACATTTTCAGACACTTACTAAGTTAATTGTAAACTGAGCAGGGAGGGTGTCAATTTGAACTAGGCATAAGTCATTACGGGTTTTGCCGAACCCGGGTATGACTTGAAAATTTCAAGCTTTCGTAACTTTTGTAACTTGCAGTCTTCGGTGAGTTATATTTTGACTTGCGATCCTGAACTGACCGCGAAAGCCCGACTCCATCCTTGAAAGCCCCAATTTTCAAGCGATAAAAAGACCTACTGTGAACTGAAACAATATCCATTTATTTCTAAAGCATATATTTTTAATTAACTTGAGATTTAAGTTTGTGAATTGTCTATTTTTAATTCTTTAATGCAAAAATCAATGTGAAATTTAATCTTGAAAACCCCAAGACTTGAATATTCCAACCCGGGTTTCGGCGTGACAGTCAAAGACCGAGCGGGGTACCGTTTTGACTCAGGCCTCATTTGAATCCCTACATTATCCACCATGCAAGGACATATCTAAATGAAATTTCACACCAATGTCAAAGAAATGTGCAGAATGTACATCACAGGAATACTTAAGGCTGAAAATGGTTTATCATTCAAACCAAAGTATCCCTTACATAGATCTCTGACTAACTGGGATATACTATTGCGCAACCAAGTTGGCGGCTAAGACCATACCTGAGCCGTGCTCTGTAGATAGAGTTGCCTCTGTTGTTGTTGTTGAGCTTGGAGTAAGTTAGTTGGTGGAGCTAAGCCTGGTATCAGCCCCGGAGGGTAGGCCGACTGTGCACTATATAACGTACCTCCACTAGACTGTAGACAAAAAGGAAAAAAATTAATATTTATTTTTGGGGGGCTACTTTTCAACCTTGCCTACATGAAAAAAACATTCTAAAATTTGTTTTGCATTGAACTCCATGATTTTCTGATTCTGATTCTGATTTTCGGGGGCTCTTTTGGGCATTTCAGGGGCTATTTCATGTCTGAAGACAAAGGACGACTGATAGTCAAATATTGGTCTCAGGAAACAAATTTAAATCAGGTTTTTATCAGGCCTGAACTTTAACTCAACTCTAAAGGCATTAAAATGAAAGAGGAGAAGAAAAAGGGGAATTAAACCCATTGCTTCCTGGAACCAGGTGGTGTATGTATTAAGCCAATGGCAATGAGAGAAATTCAGGAGTTAACAGGTTAAGATTTTATACTAGAAATATTGCCAATTTGCCCATTTACCTGTGAGAGTGAATGTGTATATGCCGACTGTGTGTGGGCAGGAGATGTATTCAATCCAGTGGAATAGGAGGTGTGAGTTGCTGGCAGTACGTACGGACCTGAGGGCGTAGTACAAAAAGAAATACACTTCATTATTACACAAACAAAGTGGAGAGAACAGAGAACACCAAACAAAAATAATGCTAGGTGATCAAGCATTTGCTTGTGCAACCCCAAAACTCTGGACTAACTTGCCATTTGAAGTCAGGAAATCACCATCTGTAAATATCTTTAAATCAAAATTGAAAACACATCTTTTTAATTAACTGTAAATTTAAGCATATCAGGAGCTCTTGTAGCGCAGTAGAATATACTTAATGTTGGATAGTTTCTGTGCTCTATAAATGTATTATTATTATTATCAATAACTTCTACACTGTACATAAATCTTCAATAGATGATTTAATATGAAAATTCAATATGTATAACGGGATGTGCTAAAGATTAGAATATTTTTGGAGGAAAAAGATTTCCCCTATACCCTAGATATACTACTGGATGAATGTTTTTGCAAACTCCCTTTACACATGAGATCTATTCCTTCACTACAAGACAAGGAAACGGAAATTCATGATCTAAAATAAGCTTATAGAAGAGGTGCTTACAAAGAAAATCATAGTTACTAATTTGAATTGATGACAATTTTAAGCTTTATAATTCTTTTCATACTAATATCAGATTTTCTGTAAATGTTTACCAAACTCTAACTGTATCTCTCATATTGCTGCTATTATTAACCTACCGGTATTTCCTACATGAACTGTGCACTCCCTGTATCAATCTTATGAAAATTAAAGAATTCAGAAGTCATCCAGTTAAAATAAACTTGATATCATGATGAAGATATTGGTTCTAGGACACCTACCCCTTGGACATCTATCCCCCGAATAACCACCCCAGTCGACTACCCCCTAGGACGACTACCACCCCCCTCCCCCCCCCCCCCCCCCGGACAACTACCCCTAGGGCAACCACTCTCTAGGATGACTACCCCCGGACAACTATCCCCTAGGACAACCACCCCCAGTCAACTACCCCCTAAGGACAACTACCCCCTAGGACGACTACCCCCCCCCCCCCGAGACAACTACTCCTAGGGTAAACACCCTCTAGGACAACTACCCCCCAGACAACTACCATCTAGACAACTATCCAAGGGGGTTGTTGTCCAGGGCATAGTTGTCCTAGGGGGTAGTTGACTTGGGGTGGATGTCCAGGGGGTAGGTGTCCGGATATTAACTCACTTCCTTTTCCATATGACCGCATCAATGGAGATGCACTGCTTTCATAGAGTAGACCTCCACCAGCTCCTGCAGGACCATTCGCACCAGCTAAACAAAGATCATTCATGGAGAGAACGCACGTTAAAGGTAAAGATCAGTTTTGGAAACGTTCCCCTCTCAAAAAATGAAATGGAAGCTTTTATTACCAATCATGTGAAAGAATATGTTTTGACTAATACGTGATAATACGAATTTTGCCAAGAAACCACCTACTAATTGATATATTTGGTAAATTATTATATCTATTTGGACCTGACAGATATCACGCACGTGTCGCGTAGTCCCATACACATCTTTCTGTGTACAGTGCTTGTAACTTTACCAAGACAGGGCCAAATTCCTTATCATTTTGATGATTCCAGAACCTTGCAGTACACACCTATATGCTAGATGATCAACCTTTTCTGATCGATTCCACAACGTTTCTTTCACAATGCAATCGCATTACCAGAATTGGTCTTTATCTTTAATTAACGAGATGTAGGTAAAATATATTCTCCCTGTCAAAAAATATGTCAATACAGCCCAATATTTACTTTAAAGGGATTGGGTAACTTTGTCTCAGATTCTGAAAAAAAATCCTAGATTTAGCTCATGCTGCATAATTATAAACGTTTAGGTCAGTCAGGAACTTTTACAAGACGATTCGCCTGTCTGATTATCAGGATATTTATGATTGGAAATCGAAACCAAATTTTGCGTTTTCCTGACGGTTTTCATAACACTACAGTCTATTGGGGGAAATGTGTATGGGGGAAATGTGTAAAACCTGTCGCTCAAAGATTTTTTTACTTTTTTGAGGCACTTCATGATCATTTTGAAGCGCATTTTTTTTTAGGGCTTCAATGTTAACCACATCACAGACACTGATAACATGTACATGTAGGGCCATGCATCTCAGATTTAACATTGTTAAACGATGCCTTTAATATTTAAAGTACATGTTCATCGCAATCTCTCCTGCAGTGAAAATAATATTTGCAGACTACAGCAGATTAGAATTCATGATTCTTAGTACTAATACGACTTGGTAACAAGATACTCTGTTTCCCTGTTATTAGGTATCACAGCTAAAGTTTGAAAGTATCTACATTTCATTTCCCCTGCCCATTTCATTTTAGAGCACATGGAAAGAGGAGTTTTGATACCTCATTTGTCGAATTTGAATTAGTACTTTTGAAAATACGGCCACTTACATAAGAGACGAAATGGTCAAATTTTGCGTAATTAGGCTATAACTGACAATTAGCCATTTTCAAGGTGACATAATTTTGTAATTAATTGATGAATCACCTTTCTTTTCAAGAAATCTGTTCTCTGTATGGATTTCTACATGCCTATTTTTTTCCAGGTTCTTTAGACAAATATTTTTTTTTGTGGAATTTTTCAAATAATGAAATGAAGCCCATTTTGATGCGTGTGACAAAATATGGCTATTTTTGCGTCGCCGGAACAAGTTTTCATGGGTTTTGAAACATGGCTAGACTTAAGAGTGTCTATGAAGTGGGGCTGAATTTCGGCATATCTGGGGTATGTATATAGCTTAATCATTTCTGTAAGTTTGGATCATCAAATCCATTTAAATTAATTTTAAATGGCATTTGAAAAAGGCTCTAAACTCTTAAAACCTCATATTTTAAAGCACCCTTAAGCTTTTTTTTGTGTTTTCAAGTCTGCCTAAATTGAAAACCGTTAATGGTAGGGGAATGAATTTTGGCACATCAATAGAAAGTATGGCAGTGGCGGATCCAGAGGGCCCCCCCCCCAACGGAGAAAATTACAAAATTTCTTGACCCCCCCCCCCCCCCCCGCTTATTCAGCGGTTGGCTGAGTCGTTATGATTTTTTTTAGACCAAAAAAAAAAAAAAATGTCCTCTTACAGATAGCAATCTGACATGATTACTGAAAAGACACTGCCTGAATTTAATTGGAATTTAATAATTATTATCCAAAGATCAGAAAAACCGTCATTACAGTTTTTTGATGTAGATTGAAACACACAAAATATTTTTTTTCTGACAAAATTTGATTAAATTTTCACTCTATAAATTGACAAAGATTACAGAAGTTTGTTCTTGAATTTCTTAAAAAGTCACTTTGAAATTCAAAGTTAACTCGCATGACGTGTGAGAAAAATTGCGAGTGGAAAAACACAAACATGTATTATTGGTCTTGTGATCGCTTTAAAATCTGTTTAGGTTACGATAGCATAATAATTCCGTCGAAATATATATGTATTTACTAATTTGTTCGCCAAATGCTGCAAATTCTGCCTCAGTTTCGATATTTGAAGCCTCAGATTCATGCTCCGTTTCGGATCTTGATGGGACGGCAAGCGGCGGGTGCGGTGATGCGACACGTGGCCGCCACGTTTCCCGTCGGGTCCGCGTGCGAAGCTGGGGGCTTGCTTGCTTTAGTCACTTTTGCTCAGTGCGTATTATACACAGAGTAAAGCTGTACTAACCGGATTCGCGCTCTAGCGCCATTTAGCGGTCATTCTTAATATTTACATGATCGTATTCTCCAGTAAATTCTCTTTCTTCTCGTATCAAAATTGAATTAAAAGTATGTTTTTCTGATATAGAAAAATTGTTTTAAACTTTTCACTATGATTTTTCACGATATTTTTGAAACATACTCCCATCAGTTTTTATATGAAAATAAAGCTTAAGATGTGCTCTTTCCAACCAGTGGATTTTTAAAACTCAAAGACGAATGGCGTTCAAGCGAATTGAGCTAAAACTAGGGATACAAATCGGCCGTCAAAAAAAAATGGCGACAAACGAAGTGAGACCGTACGAATTAGAGGGTAAATCTCAAGCAACTGTGTCGTAAGTAATTAATGGATTTTGATGAAAATGACATGACATGAAAGACAGAATCCTGAGCTTTCGAGAGACATATAATTTTATAATATTTATTTTTTACATGATATGAAAATCTTCCTTCACAAAGAGAGAATTTGCGTGGTTGAGCTCTGTGTGTCCCCACTCAACGCAGCTCTTCTGTGATACCTACTGTTATCCACCTTGCTTAGTAAAGTATTGATAGGTCAACAAAGCCTTGGAAATCTTTTAAAATTTGTCAACATGTACACAAATTTTAATCAATTGGTAAACTGATTTCCATAAAAACTTCGGGAGATGAATTTAAGAAAAATAATTGAAGGGTTAGTGGAAGGGTTAGTAAACAGTTACCAGTTAAAAAGGGAATAATGTTTAACACCATAAAGCTACATGGAGGAATCGACCTCCCAACTGTGACATTTATAATATTTACTTACTGCTTTGTTTACCCAGGGTAGCCTAATCAGTTATTATATCAGGGAAAAAATTACTTTAAAAATTTCGGGGGCTACTTTTCAAGCTTGCTTGCATGGAAATAACATTCTCTAATTTGTTTTGCATTGAACTCTATGCAAAATTTGGGGGCTCTTTTAAGACTTTCGGGGCTCTTTTGGGCATTTTGGGGGCTAATTCGCCCCGAGCCCCCGTGTATTTTTTCCCTGTATTATATTGTTCTCCCGTAAGCCTATGCAATCATATTATTACCCCAGCTCTAGCCGAGCTGCCATGATAATGCTCTCTACAGTTTCTCGGCTACAGTAGCATACAGGAATTTCTTCATACCGGGCACAATTTTACCTCACCTATGTGGAATATGGCAAAGGTAAAGTAATACATGTCTTGCTTAAGGATATTGGTGCCATGTCAGGGATTCCAACCAGGACCATGTGATCCACAGTGATGGATTCACCCGACCACAACATCTCCACAACTACCAACGAGTCCCACACGACATGAGATTATATTCATATATTTAATTCATGAATGAAAGTCTCCTGGCATGACCATGACTAATGGCAAAAATACTATAAAAAAAATTATTTGATGGTTGTATCAACAGGTTCTTTACTCTGGATGAAAAAATGTGGAACAAAGACCACATCGAAAATAATATCACTAGTGATATTCCTTTGTCTCGCAATGTATGGTCAACAAGGGATCTAAAAGATCACGACGTATCTGTCGTGGAGGACATATTGCAGAGAATTGGCCTAACAAAGAATGATTATATGTAGTGATACATACTGATAGAGCCATGTTGATTGAGCGTGGGGTTAACAGCAGTGTAGAGTGCAGGTGAGTAGGCCAGGGGTGGCATTACACCTTGCATTGGTACATTTCTCGTATCGGATGGTATTCCTGCAGAAATGATAATGAATGAACACTGATTACCAACACTGATACAAATCGCAATTAGCAGCCAATGGCTGAAATGCTCACAACTTCCAAACACATTTAAAAATACACACAAAAAAAGGCATCGCATTTATGTTAAAATTATACAAACAACATGGTCAACGAACAATAATTAGTGTACATGGACCATAGTGGCTTCAATAAACCAAGAAAAAAAAAGAAAGAATAAATGTCATAAATCATCAAACATAATTCCATGGAGAGAAGTAATTGCATAAGTTTGGTCATATGGTAATGACAATATTATTGACCTACTTATTAAAGGTGGAGTTAATAGGATAGCCCAAACTGAGAAAATAGATCAGTTCACACAATCAATAAAAATACTGTATTCTATAGCTAAGGCTATTAAAGAGGCCTATTTAATAGTATTTGACTACATTCTGGGCCGCATGGTCGGGCATACTTCAAACAGGTCTTGTCGTTTTGTCAACATTTGTCATAAAGTATGCAAGCACTAAATTCTATCACCTGTGTGCTGTTGCCAGATACATCAATAATTTGCATACCTACTAAAGATAATTCTAAATTCAAATATTTAGAATATTGTCTATTCAGAACCAAAAGGGCATTAACTCTGTGTTAAAGTTTATGAATTAATGCCCTTTGGCTCCAAACAGAAACATGTATGTGAGATGATGAGAATTGAATATCACTTGTTCAGAGCCAGAAGGGCATTAACTCTTGTCTTAAAGGTAATACAAAGTTTTGGTATGGGGTCATGAATATATTGGAAGCATATTGCGGATCATCCTACAATATTTAATGATCGTTGTCGCGGTTGAAATCGAGTCTGAAGTGATGAAATTGTGAATAATAAACTCTTTATGCTGTATAGCTCCCTCTCAAGATTGACATTACCTTACCTTCAAAACGATGTTTCTTGACTAAAATTGACTGATTTTCTATTCCCATTAGGAAATGATATATCAGAACTGCAAATTCCAAGATTTTCATAGTTGCAGCTACCATTAAATGGCCGAAAGCGCTATTTAAAATTTGGGAGCATCAATAATTTTGATATGTTAATTTCTCAAAATCCTTAGCATTTTAGAGCCCATTTTATCAAAGTTGCTTATAATTCTAACGCTAGGTTTCACTATGGTAATGCAAATTTTAAATTTCATAATCCAAGCCTGTTGAGATATTAACATAACTGTGTATTACCTTTAAAACCCCACTGCACTACTTATAGCTTCTTGCGCCCTCCATATACATGTAGCAAACAATGCCTTATCGGTGACCATTGGTCTCCCATGGTCCCCTTTTTCTGAAAACTGAGAGCTGATTTGATGACATAACCACCTGTCAGTTACCCTGCAGGGAGGTCTAATCCCTCCTGGCCGACCTAGTGCAGATGGACTTTAAGGTATACGAGTTAAAACCCTTCTAGCACCAAACAAAGGATGAATTGTTGAATCATCACCTACCTGATTGAGGGTACCCGGGCGGCAAGTTGACTTGATATGCAGGATTCATCTGGTCCTGACAAAAGAAAAGATATAACGTACTGATCAATGCACAAGTGAAAGTACAACCTTGTTGGATCAATTCAATTCAATTTATTTAGATTCCATCTTTGTATAAAACATTTGTAAAAATATATATCAATTAAAAGCATGTAATTTCATACATACCTGTTAAATACATTTGAATGACATAACCATAACATGTTTACATTACATTATGTTTACAGAACTACACTTGGCACAGATGTTAGGCATGCATGAAGGATTTTAGCACACAACATCGGGTGTGCAATCAGACACCCTACTTCTCTAAATATTTTTTGCAGCATCCTTAAAAAATTGTCAAGTATTTTACTTCAGTTTTAAAAATTCACATTTTCATCATATTTAAGGTACAAACTCTGTGTACCTCCAATTTTCTTTGGAATTGGGTGTGAAATTGTGAAAATATTGAAAAAAAATTGGCAAATTATGCAGTCTTTTGTATCCGTTCCGAAAAATTATCAACTTACCGATAAGCTTCTGGAAATCGTCATTTGAGACCAGATATCCTCAAAATTGTAAGTAAAAGTGGTACTGCTGTGATTGTATGATATCTTGCTTTGCAAATTATTTATTTACCTTATTTTTGATGGATTGCATTTTTGTATTAATCAGTTGTAAACTCCCATGCGTGAAGTTAGGTCTCGTTGTTTTTAAGACTTTTTTTGATGCAGGGTGCACGCGCGATCGGACATCAAATTTTTAGATCGTGATAGTCTATCTCTGAAATCCTTCGAATATAAATTTTCTAGTTGAACCAATTTGTAGTAAAAAACTTTGCCGTCGATTTGGTAATAAATGAAATTAATAAATTTGTGTAGAATATGAGAAATCATAGATCGAATATCACATTTTGTAATATGTACTAAAAATGTCCCCAAACTTTGGTCAGCCTTCATTTTTCATACAGATTGAGAGCGCTCAATGTGTAGGGAGGCTCTGCTGGAGTGGTCATCCTGTATTTTCTGAATTTATCATTGCATCACATTTTGTCTTAAGCTCAATAATGCTTGGATAGTGAATGATATTGCTCCAAATTTGACCAGGGAATTCGGACATAATGAAATGCTGAATTATTGAATGCACAGTGACACACGTCCATTCATGATTCAACTGGTAACTGCACAACACATTAGCAGCAGGCGCAGCACACAGTCACAGCACACAGGCAAAGACCAGTGAAAGAGAATGTCAAAACTACAAACAATCAGATAGGTTTACATCAATATTCCATGGGGTTTGGAGATAGGATATGAAAACTAATGCATAGCTTATTGTAGCACATATGATACAAAAAGAAGAGGATGGTTAATCTTACCTTTGATTAGCTATTTAAGGGGTGTAATGTTGATCGATCTGGTATTGTTTGGTTTTTGGACGTACGTCGGCTCAGATGGCATCCATGTTTCCGTATACACGAAGCGAAGGTCAACACACTAATTTCAGTCAAATTTATTTGCCGCCCTCTGTGCGTTGTAACGGACAATGTTTGTCCCTCAGTGATTCGCCCCGACGAAGTTTATTATTAGGCCAAGTATTACTATTTTTTAAATTTCTTTCATCAATACAGACCCGTCTAGGATGTTTCATTCAGGGGTTGGAATTTTTACCAATTTTCTTCTTTGTTCTAACCTATGTAAAGACCGGAAAGGAGTAGAATACATTGAACTGTTATGATTATACTCATTATATTTTGTTACATATGATTTCTGGCAGGCGCGGATCCAGGATTTCTTAGGGGAGGGGGCCCAACTTTTTTTTTTTTTTTGCTCCCGAAAATTTGAAAATCGCGCCGGCCGAAAAGTCGCTCAGTGGGAGGGGGGGGGGGGGGGGGTAGTGAACACATTTTTTTTTTGGTCCTCGAAATTTGTACCCCCTCCCCCCTGGCGCCAAAAGGTAAAAAATCACGTGTTTTTACATGATTTTTTTTTCGCAAGGGGGGGGGGGGGCGGGCCCCCCTGGATCCGCCACTGATTACTGGAAGACAAATAAACTTGATACTTAAAACTTGAATATAATGCTTTAAAAAATACGAAAAACAAGACTTCCAAAATGTGTGTGTGTGTGTGTGGGGGGGGGGGGAGACGTATAAAGTTTCACTCTACATATGTAGGTAGGTAACCAAACTAATTATAAACGAAACTAAACTTCAGGAAACTGTAGGCCCTTCCTGAACACACATACGAGAAGATAAGAACGTGTTCTCTCTTCTGCTGCATTTTGAATCTTATACTTCCATTCATGTCAACAGAAAGTAAAAACGAACAGAAGCTTTGACTTTAGGAAATGATTGACCCAATGACCTGCATAAATCTAAATGACGATTTACAGTTTTAGTCGAATTTTTCAGGAAAAGTAAAGAATGTTTAGCCTTTCAAAATACCTTTTGAATATTCATCTCCAAAGGTGATGAGAGCATGATTATTGTTATGGATTATGAAAATGATATGACGTCATCTTTGAAGAATCTCTTTAAAATCAATCATGGATTCTGGGGTATTCAAACAGCAATACGAATTATTGAAAATTAACTATTTATGTATCAAAGTGTGACAGGATTTGCTTGCGCCCCCTCTGTTATTCTTTTGTCTACCAGTTTGTGATCGGAGGCGAGGATCTATTGTTTTGGATAAAAAAATGTTCATCGGCTGAAGAACGAATGGCAATCAACCTTTTTATCCATGCAATTCCTCGAGCATTCCTTCATAATTTTTTCTTTATTTGAACAATCATGTCTCTAAATTTTCTTTCTAATTCATTATATCCTCAATAGTTTTTGTATAAAAATCCTTATGTCAGTTTCCAAACTTCCTGCAGTCTCTGACCACCGAGTTATTGACCCATGGTTAGACCTTCTTAGTAATGTCCTAATTTTTTTCTTCCTAGTTTTTCTTTAATTGATGAAATATTCTAATCAGGGTGGTGGACGTCATAACAAAATTGGTATTTTCAGCAAAGTAGTCAGAAATATTATTGTAGATGTTCCCTTTACACCATGTAATAGCCTTACAGAAAAGTTTGTTGATATGTTCTAATGTCAAGAGAATTCCCTTATAGGAGAAATTGAGGAAGAGTAAAGGAAAGGGAAAGAAAAACAAAACTATTGTCGGGATGACAATAGTCATACGAGCAGTGGTCATTTAACAGTGACAACAGGTCCTGGGTTCGAGCCATATCAATGCACTGATGATCCTTGCATGCATGGGATAATAACCCTCACTAGCCAAGTGAACTGGATGTGACATTAAAACCCCTCTGCACTAGTTTGGCCAAGAGGGATTAACCTCCATGCATGGTCAATGACAGGTGGTTCTCTCATCAAAATAATAAGCTCTCAATTAAAGGTACTATGTCCCATTTGCAGGCCAAAAAAAATGAAAAGGTTAAATTCCAACGGCATTTGAAAGGTAATTTCAATTTAGGACTTCCCTAAAAAAAAAAAAAAAGGGGGGGGGGGGCTTGAAAATGTCTTTAAGTGGGAAAATAACGACTTTTAGTTGTCAAATCGACTTAAGAGCTATAGAGCCAGTAAGTAATAGTCTGATTTTCAGACCATTGTACCGAACGGTCGTACGTTTTATGCTGCGCAAAGATTCAATCAGTTTAATTTTGGCCTTTACAAGACCGAAGTGGGTTATTGATGTAGACAAATGCTCATGTACCCTTTATAGCTCATTTTATGTATGTTATTACAAAAGAAGAAAAAAAGCCAGTCAGTCACTCAATAGTGTCTGACAGTGCAGTCTAGCAAGTAAACGGTTTTCCTTGCATAATTTGAATATTAGGACACTGCTAACGTTTAAATTTCACAGATAGGATGATACATTACATATTCATAATTCCTGCAAAGTTCTACACAATTTGATGTTGGCTGCAAAAGGGACATAGTATCTTTAACATAAGAAAAAGGGGACCATGGGGAACCGATAGTCACCTATTAGGCATTGTTTGCCATATAGAGGGCGCAAGTAGCTATTGCAGTGGGGCTTTAAAGCCGCAGGTCCCTTGGTTGCCTCATATTTACAAACATTGTTTTCCCGGGGTGTAACCATGGTAAGAAATGACTGTTTGAAGATTTCAAAATGACCCATATTCTGCAGAAAACAAGTAGATTTATTACACAATTACTACACAACAGATTGAAAACATTATAGGATTTAGGTACTATCATGTACATACTATTTTCAATGCAATCCGATATTTTCATGATTTTCAGGTGATTGTCACTAGTTTAAGATCGACATAATAACAAGGAAAACAATTGCCTTGGCGCAATATATTACCGGGATGCGGAAGCGGTTGGCAATGGTAAAATTTCCTATCGTCTGCCAAAGCAGGAAGCCAACAGATCCTTGTCATAATACTTCAGGGCCCGTATTCAATAAACTTCTAAGACATTTTTCTTAAGTCTAAGAAAATGTCTAAGAATTTGTCTAGGTTAAGAAAGTTGCCTTAGCCGTATTCTAAACACGTAAAGCAGTTTGTCTTAGCCAAGACGAAAGATAAGACAAATTCTTAGACCCGATGACGTCATGTGGGAAAGTTGATGTGGTCGACTCGAGCGAATTAATTGCAACTCGATTTGCCTATGTAATTTGCGTGTTAAAATAAAAATCGCACCGCACGAAAATTATACACTAACATGTATGGGAGAGCGTAAGGGAGGAACGATGCTCACATAATTATTTCGGGATTGACCAACTGACACTAAAACAGTCTAGTCAAGACCACCTGAGGCTAGATGTTTGAAATCTGTTGCGTATCCAGAAATAAAACGGAGTCAAGGTCTTGGGGGGTCTTTGACAGGGAAGTGGAATGTATTTTCTAGGCAACACCGCGTCATAATAATAATAATGGGTTCTTACATTATAGCACTCATTTCCGCCTCTCTCATCACATTATTACCCTAGCAGGTTAAATAAAATAAAAGGCATTCATATAGCGCCGTCTATACACAATTCTATTCCGAGGCGCACAAATTATTCATTACCCCCGACTTTAGCGTAGCTGCCATTAAAGCGCTCTAGAATTTTAAGGAATTAAATCCTGCCAGGTACCCATTAACATCACCTGGGTCGAGTGTGGAAAATGTAGATTAATGCCTTGCCAAAGAACATTAGTGCCGTGTCGGGGATCGGTTATAGCCGACCCGCCAAATGACTAGCACTCAAGCATGGTAACTTTGCCACCAATGGAACTACCATGGAAACCTTGATTTTGATTGGCTGTTGAGCCCTGTTGCCATGGTAGTTGCCATCAATGGTAAGTTTTCTGCAACGGTGCCCTGTCACCTGGGTGGAGAGTGGCAAATTACACCCGGGACTCGGAGTATCTCCTTTCAAGAGGGTTGTTTGTTACAATCGAAATGCAAATAAGCCTATTTCGCACGGTTTAGCGGGTTGAGGTCAACTAGTGCGGGCTCCACCACTTCCGTAAGTTACGCTGGTCGGTGGAAGGTCCAAGTAAGAGCGTGTCGACAACTATAAATGGTGCAAGTGAAATTATGAGGTATTTACTGCTGCAGGGATTAACTTACGCCGACTAGCAAATCCCCGTCTGAACAAGACTATTCAGTTACAACACGAATCGTAACCTTATACCTTTTGACAAAATAAAGACCGGTGCAAACCGTGCAATTATTATCGCTACAAAAAAGTGTTTTCAGTTTGTAGTGGTTGTCAGCAGGCACGTAGCCAGTGGTTGTCAGCAGGCACGTAGCCAGACTTTGATGTTTTTTTTCTTCTTTTTTTTTTTTGGGGGGGGGGGGGGGGGGGTGGGGTTCATACATGTTATCGATCGAGGTAAAAAAAAGGGGTCTAAAAAGTTCAACCGATCCTGGAATTTTGTTGGGGGCACGTGCCCCCCCCCCCCCCGTGCCCCACCGGTGGCTACGTGCCTGGTTATCGGGGGTAGCATTGTCGAAGATCTTTTGTTTTTTTTGTAAATATGATGTGGCAAAATTCGAATATGTGAAAATGAACAAAGGTGTACATGTTGAAAATTGAACACCAACCATTTGTTCAATGTTTATAATACATTCATATAGTTTTTGGCTGGCATATTATTTAAAGGAAACCAAAACCTTCATACTAAGTTACTTTTATTGTAAAGTTTAAGATATTTGAAAAATATCAGTGAAAATTTGAACAAAATCGGGTAAGGAATAAGGAAGTAAGAGCTTTTTGAAATGACTAGTCACTAGAGGGCGGTATTCAATTTGATGACATCATCTGTGGACAACTCTCCATGCCTTTTGTACATCAAATTTCATGTTTTTCCTTCTTTCTTGTGATTGAGATAATGTACTCCCCTGAAAGCAAGATATAGAATGCAAAATGATATTCTACTTCACATGTTATGAAGTCGGATCAAGAACACAAATAAATACGAAGAAAACAAAAAAATTGTGAAATTTTATGTACAAAAGGCATAGAGAGTTGTTCACAGATGATGTCATCAAATTGAATACCGCCCTCTAGTGACTAGTTATTTCAAAATGCTCTAACTTTCTTATTGCTTGCCCGATTTTGTTCAAATTTTCACTGATTTTATTCAAATCTTTTAAACTTTACAATAAAAGTAACTTAGTATGAAGGTTTTGGTTTCCTTTAAGTGTGTTTAGACAAGAGTGGTTGTTTTCAGCGCTGATGTTTCTAATAAATGACCCCGATTTGACATCACCATCCGGCAATACCAGGGACGCGAAAAGGGCGCCGATAATATCTGCGTAAAGGGGCCAGGGTGCATGGCGGTAACTATACCACCCCAAACCCTTGTTTTTTCGAAATTGATATATTATCTTTTTGATTTTTTCTTCCCCTTTATTTTTACCAACAATCTGTACATATTTCCAGACAAATATGCACGTTTTGGATCAATTTTTGAGCAGTTTTTTGTCGCCATTTTGATTCTTCGGGGGGGGGGGGGGGGGTGCGGTCTCATGAAAGTCAAGTCTATTGTTTTTATGACGTTTTTCTGTTACTTTTTATAACAAGTCGTTTTGAGTTTACTGCGAGATGTTCTTTGAATTAGAAATGGTGTAATGTGTAAGCTACTACTTCAATGTATTCGATGTCCACCTTCAATATTGTATAACATAATATACCAGCATTATATCCTTCACCTGTATGGTAGCATGTCCCATATTGTATTCATCCTCGTGCTTTATAACAATTATTACAAGAATACTTTCACATAGGATGTCCTTTCACACATTAGTTAAGGACATGTCAATAAACAGTATCTCTTCTCTCCACGAATTATGTCAATACCCCACCAGACCCACCAAAAAAAATCTTCAGGTGGGGGGGGGGGGGGGGGGGGGCTTGGAAGTTTTGCATTCATTTTCTACACACACAACAGTAGCAAATGGAGGGAGGGGGTATTTTGTCCCTCCTTTTGTTTAAGATTCCACTTATGGAGTTAAAAGCTGCATAGCAGTGCATGTGGAAGTATTCGTACGATTTTTATTTATGAAATAATTCTGAAGATATATATTTTTTTTTTGGGGGGGGGGGAGGTGGGGGAGAGAGAGAGAGAGAGAAAGAGAGAGAGAAAAAAAGAGAGGGACGGAGAGAGTCGAAAGAAAAGGGAGAGACAAAGAGAGAGAGATAGAGAGAGCGAGAGAGAGAGAGAGAGAGAGAGAGAGGAAGGGGTGGTTTAAAGTGAGAGAGAAGGAAGAAAGGGATAAGTGTGAATTAGTTCTATACCACAAACACTATTAACTACAAAGTCATACATTTCAAAGCGTGGGATCAGTTTTATTTACATATTCATCAAAATACCAAAGTCAGAATTATCATTTAGATAGTAAAGAACACGATAAAAGACATTTGAATAGGTCATTATCATTTAATATTTCCCCAAGGGGCCCCTTCACCCCTGGATCCGCTTTTTTAATTCAATCAAACGAGAATTTACAACATTGTCAAATAGTTTCTTTTTCTTTCTTTGGGGGGGGGGGGCATAGTGATACGGATAAAAACCGTGTCCCGTCCTCATTATGCATGAGCAGTTTACAACTAGCAGTGCCCAATTAATTGAGAAAAACTTAGAAAATATGTTCAATCATAAAGATGTTGTTTGACAGAACCGGATTTAATTGTGGTTATTGGATGATTCAAGAAGAAGCGGACCTGGTTACTTCCTTCGCCAGAAAGATTTGATTAATAATCCATTTTCAATTTTTACGGTTTTAGGAAAATACTACAATTTTAATTATGCCTATATTTTAATTAAATTGACTCGTGCAGGGACGGACCTAAGATTCATCTTAGGGAGGGGGAAGAGTATGAACAATCTCTGATAAACCAACAGCAAAATTATGATTTCATTTCCAGTTGTCTTTTCTAAGATTTGAAAAATGGGCCACATTCTTCTTTTGTGCATTTCAGGACAAAGACAGTAGCATAATAAAACAGATAATCTAAAAAATTAGGTGGGACATTATCACAAATAACCAACTGAATTATATTAATGACAATGATAATGAAACTTAAATTTCATTTATCAAATTTACAAGACTACAAATTAACTCTTGATAATAATAAATACAACTGTGTATACAGATACGAAATTGCTGTGATGAATTGTTCGACCTAAAGACAGTTAGCATAATAAAAAAGATAATCTAATTAGGTGGAGCATTGTCATCAATAACCAACTGAGTATTAATGACAATGATATTGAAACTCAATTTTCATATATCGAATTTGCAAGAGTACGAGACAAGTATCCTCTTGATAAATGATAAATATACCTGTGTATAAATACAGATATTCACGTCTATGAGGGTACACAAATGGTGAGTATGAACAATATAGACAAAATTCTTGTCGCAATTAAGGGGGGGGGGGGATATCTTCATTTTGAACTAGACCAGTTTACATGCTTGGCAAAGAAAATTAACAAACAAGTGTTTAGAGCAAAACAATTCGAAAAAATAACAACTTAGTTCTGGTGGTACCCGGAAATCTAAAGCTTTTGAAGGACGTCAGATATTTTAAGGCAAATTATCCAGTTTTCAATAGCAGGGCATAGACGTCAGATATTTCTAGGAAAATGATCCCTTTGTTCAGCAGAGCATATACGTCAGCTATTTTAAGGAAAATTTTCCCCTTTTCATTGGCAGGGCATATATTGACGTCAGATATTTTAAGACAAATTAACATTTTTTTCTGTAGCAGGGCATATTAAATAACAGTCACGATTCATTTTCAATGGAATTCCAAACTGAAACCCCACACATTTGTTTTTGTCAACCAAGGTTTAGTGTACTCTCGTATTACTATCGTTGTCACGATATAGGATTAGAATAAAATGTCAGGTATAGCTTCGAAATATTTTGAGAGCCTTCGACAATGAGAAGTGAGATTATTTCCTGTTCTTGGCAGAATTTATTACCAAATTCGCTAAATATTTGATGCATTGTGTTCCATTAGAGTGAATTTAACCGTTACTCTGGTTACCAGACGTGGCACACCCATAATAGTACGAACTTACACAATAAGAAGTTATGATAGTAATTAAATGCAAAATGGAAATTGCAACGCATTTTCGTTGTTGTTTTCTTTACCAGAATCCAACATTTGTTGATAGTAGCCTACTCTTTTGATAGAAATTTAACAAAACAATATCTCTTCTACATACATAAATACAAATGAAAGATATTGCAATGACATATAAATGATTAGTTCAGTTTCCAAGGATCATTTATTTACAATGTCTATTTTCAGCTTTTATGGAGTTAGTTCGTTTCATATATCCCTCAACCGCCACTCTAAACATACTAACAACAACATTTTGTAAGGGGGTGGGGTGTTATACCAAACGAGTTATATATAACCCCAAGAGGCTCATCTCACCTACACAATAATCGAAGGAAAAAACAAATCGAAATCGAAATTTGCAGGCAGATCATTTTGAGGGGCGAGAGGTAATCAACCACAATCAGTGGAAAAGGCACTTATACAAATTATTACTTTTCAAGAAAACGAGGAACAATCTAAGCAGACTAAGTTGTAGAGGGATGATATAGGAGATGAAAAGGAATTTAAAACAACAATTATAAACACAATCGCAATTTCTTTCTAGTAATAAACTCGGGGGCAATATTGTATCCCATTGATATCATGTTAAGAGTATATAATACGCCATTGTGTTATTCGCACATGTCATAATGTGACGGACAAGGCTCTGGAAATTACCATAGGTTTTTTTTCTTTCTTCTAAAGTCTGTGCCATCGTTTTAATAATATAAACACATACATATTTCCTCAAAAACAATTGGTTGAAGATCAAATCTTACTATAAATATACAGTATTATACTTCTGTCAAAAATAAAATTACACAGTATGTGAGTCCAGACCATTAAAACTGGTCGATTCCGTGATTTTTGCTCTGCTTTCCCGTGACCTGCGATGCCATCGTCCTTGCATCAGCATGGCCATGCCCTTTTTGAACTTTTGTAATCTAAGAGCATAGATGAAGGGGTTCACGCAACAGTTCAAGAACGCTAAGGTCACTGTGATGTGATACCAGGCTCCTGTAAAGTTCAAAGGTCCTCCGAAGTTGAACTGTAGGAAGGTGATTTGGTTTGGGGTCCAGCATATGGTGTAGACGGCGAAGAGGATACAGAGCGTCATGGTGATATTCCTGGAGGGATGTACGATCTTAGATGCTCCTCTGTTTGGCATCCTGGTAGGTGTACTTGTGGCACTTGGTGGGTCCACCAACTTTTTCTTCTTCTGCTGCAATGCGATTTTCTTTTTCCTCATCTCGGTGATGATATTGTAATAGACAAAGGCCATGATGCAGACAGGGAGGACGAGCTCCCAGATGAACAGAGACACTCCTAGGACGATTCCTGCAGCTTTGGACCACGATGCCTCGTAGACACAAGAGCCAGGGCCGCATGTCCACTGGAAAATTGTTGGGACATATTGCATGATAGGAGCAATGAGCCAAATCAGAAGCATCATGATCAAGGCTCGTCGCCTGCTGAAGTTTCGTGAGTACGTCATCGGATGAAGCACTGCCCAGTATCGCTCAATCGACATCACCGTCAAGTTCCATGTCGAGATAGCAAAACTAGCGAAGAGGAAGAACCGCGACCACCAGAATCGACATAAAAACTCCGCCGTCGATGGCGAAAGGTGGATGAAATGTCCCGTGACGCCAGATGTATCGTTGCCGGCACCGTCATCGAGGTCCTCTTCGTAGGCCATGATTCTTGGTCTGAACACGTTGACGACCCCGAATAGGATCAGCAAAACAGACGTGCACCCGTCAATGAGAGCCTGGTCGAATATGAACATATTCACCTGACTTTTCTTCTGTGTTAGCAACCCGAATACGATCATGACGAGCGTGTTTCCTATGATGCCGAAAGTACCGATGACCACGTACACCACTATGGATACGATGTCGTTAGCACTCAACGTGTGCACTATCTCGGTTGGTGTGTGTCCGACGGCTGTGGATACTGTCATGTTATCCAT